AATGCAGAGTGTAAGAAGAACGTATATTGCATGTTATCTATGTCAAAAGGAGGCACAGTTTAAAATTCACATACATCCTCATACATGCATTGGCTATCTCTGGAAAAAGACACTAAAGCCTGGTAATATTATTTAATATTTATTGCCCCAAGAGAAAGGGTCGCAAGAAGTTCCAACAACAGAGATGCTCATTTTTCACTGTATCCTCTCTCAGGCTGTTATGCTTTTTGTTTTCTGGTGTGGGTTTGTTGTTGTTGTTTGTTTTTAATCGTGTACAAGTATTACCTTAAGAATAGAGAGAAAGAAAACAGTTTCAAAAGGGAGTGAACTCTGCTCAGACTTAAATGAGTTCTTAGTGTTTTCATCCTCTCAAGGAGTGACTTAACCCCTTCCACAGTGGCGTACTGTCTCATGCCTTTTCTCTTGTAATCTTCCTTAACGACCCCAACAGGTTATCATCATCCCCAACCCACAGGGGTGGCAAAGAGGCTCAAAGAGGTTTAGTGGCCAAACTGCACAGCTGCTAAGTTTTGCAGTTGGGTTGTAGAGGCTGGTCCTCTGGTTCTCCTCAAAGCCCACTCCAGGATGTGGCTGGAATATGGACCATTCCAACAGCCATGGTAGCGGCCCTTGGAGCCCTCAGCTGCTACCACGCAGAATTGTCAGCCCTCCCTGGGCCTTAGGGTCCCTCTCCCAGACCTCAGAGGGGGCCCTGTCTACACTGCCTCCTGGATGCCGCCCACCTTCTCCGGTTACATCCCTCAGCAAAGTTCCTTTTGGGCCTTCTGGGGAGAGGCCACTGCCAGCAGGTCATTGTGGCTCTAATTGTTCTCTGTGGTGAGCTCACGTTGCACTGGACTCAGTGCAGACACCTGCTTTCCTCAGGCAGAGATGAAACCCTAGAGATGACGGGCCTCTGTGGAGTATGACATCTTGATCAAATAAGGCTGCCCTGAGATTTCTCATTCCTCCGAGCTTGGGCCAGAGATGAAGCGGGTTCCCTCCTGTCTGTCAGCAGCTTACAACTTTAGGCGCTCAAATCTACCTTCCTGGACCTCACTTTCTGGTAAAATAGAGATCATATTCCTGTGTAGCACGGACAGATGTTGCTGGGCCGTTTACCTATCAGGAGCCCTGATTAAATAGAGCCAAACTGCCTTTTATGTTGAGGATCTCAAAGCATTTTAAAATGAGTAATTAATGAAGTTCAACCTCCCAGAAAAAGCCAGAATTATTGTCTTCGTTTTATAAATAGATCAAAGGTCACACAATCAATGGCAGATGTAGGAAACAGATGTAAGAATTCTGCTTTTGTCCCTGGCTGCAGCCACTAAATCCCACCCCTGGTATCACTGACAGACCTCCTTTCTGCTCTCTGACTTCTGGCCAAAGACGTGGAATTGGCCTTTATATGTTTCCACTTAAAGGTTTGAATTCTATGTATGGTTCGTATGCCTTTGATATGTCTGGAATTTATAAAAGAGAAGGAGAAGAATGATATTTGATGCTTTTCAGAGATCGTGTTGGGACTGAGGCTTATATAATGGGTCAAATGCCAATAAAGGAAAAAAAAAAAAAACCCGCTCACCAGATCTTCAGGAAGTTCACTTTTATTCTCTCTCTGAAAGAATTTTGTCTGTTAAAATTAAACAGAGTATATCTTTAGTCACCCAAATGATTATTGTGGGAACAACAGAAGTCACCACTTATTGAGCACCAACTGTGTGCTAAGCACTGCTCTTCTTACTGGCATGTTATACATTGTGATTTTCACAGACTTGCAAGGAGGTCTTTATTGTTTGTTCATTTTACAGATAATATATAACTAGGCTTAGAGATAAAATATAAAGTGGGGAGAAAGGAAAGAGAAGGCTCAAATAAAATTAATTAAGCAAAAATGATTGGCTATATACTCCATGCCAGAGGTGTTGCGTTGTGATAGATGAAAATACAAAGATGAGGAGAATAGCACCAGATTCCTGCTCTCGAGGAATTTATAGCCTTGTGAGTGTGTGGTTGAGGCTGACGGCTGAGCAGAAGCATATAAAAAGACAAATAATGTCAATACAATTCAGTCCAGGGATCCCTGGGTGGCCCAGCGGTTTGGCGCTGCCTTTGGCCCAGGGCGCGATCCTGGAGACCCGGGATCGAATCCCACATCAGGCTCCCGGTGCATGGAGCCTGCTTCTCCCTCTGCCTGTGTCTCTGCCTCTCTCTCTCTCTCTCTCTCTCTCTCTCTCTCTCTCTGTGTGTGTGTGTGTGTGTGTGTGTGTGACTATTATAAATAAAGAAAGAAAATTTAAAAAAAAATACAATTCAGTCCAGAAGTATTTATTGGTTTGCTGGTAGGTGTTAGACACTGCATTGGTCACAGGGGATGGTCCCACTTCTCATGGAGCTTATAGTCTAGTGGGCAAGTCAGACATTGATCAAATAATTACACAGATTTAAACTGCAATTGAGTGGAGTAAAAGACACCAGATGGGCTACCACCTGACAAAGGATTAGTATCCAGAACATATAAAGAGCTCCTACACATAATAAAAGATAATCCAATAGAAACACTGTCAAACCAAGGGCAACTTTTAAAAGATGAACGGCAAACGGCCCATAAACAAATGAAAGTATGCTTAGTCTCTCTTGTAAACAGGGACTTGCAAATTAAAACATCGAAATACCATTTCACACCCATCAGCTTGGCAAAAATTTTAAAGGCTGACATTACCAAGTGTTGTTGAGGATGCCAAGCATGGGAACTCTTACTTACATATTGCTATCAAAGTGTAAATTGGTACGACCACTTTGAAAAACTGTTCAGCCATGCTGAGTAAAGCTGCCAATTCACATGACCCGAGTCCAGCAATTTCACACACAAGTATCTGCTCAATGGCTCATTTTCACACAAGGGGATGGGTTAAAAAACATTAATTGTAGCATTGTTTCTAACAACACCAAATGTGAAAATCAGCTAAACAAACTTCAGAAAGAGATGGGTAAATAGAGTGTGGTGAAACTCATACAATGGGACCCGAATTAGCAGTGAAAATGTATGATTTAGAACTACATGTATCAATGTGACTACATTTTCAAATCATAATGCTGAGAGAAAAAAAGCGAGTTGCACAATGATATATTCAGTATAATGCCACTTCTCCAAAGTTTACAAACATGTCAAACAATTCTATAAAGTGTTTATAGATACAAACATATGTAGTAAAAATACAAAAGCATGTATAGGAATGATATGCCCCAAATGCAGGAGAGTGGTTGGTTACCTTAAGAGAGGGACAGACATGGGTTCAAAGGGCTCTGTCTAGATCTAAAGATGTTTTATGTTCTTGAAAAAAATGATTTGAAGAAATTATGACAAATGTTAAGCTTTGGCAAAGGTTGGAGGGCAGGGGAGGGGTGCAGAACAAACAGGTTTGATGATACTACTCTCTGTAGTTTTTTTTTTTTTTATAGGCTTTGATCTATCCAAGAAGGATTGGATTGAATTGGAGGTGGAATGAGGGGAGGGGTCAGGGAAGCTATCTCTGAGGACATGATGCTCACTTAGAAAGAGAGCCAAAAATTGAGTAGGTGAGGAAGGGCAGAAAGGTGCACCAGGTAGAGAGAAAGAACAAGCTGTGCAAAGACCCTGGGGTCGTAGGGTGTGTATAGAGATTGGGAACTGAGACCCCAGTGTGGCCAGAGCAGGGGGAAAAGGGGCTGGAGTTGGAGGTGATGGGGGAGGGGCAGTGCAGAGACCATGCAGGGCCTCCTAGGCCATCTTGAAGGTCAAGTCTTTACCCTATGAGGAATGCAGCAGAGATGGGAAGCTTTGGGGCCCAGACAGACTTCTCTTCGATAGACAGCAGACCAGAGAAGGCATTCCTGTCGCAAGTGACTCATATCTTGAGTTGTGTAGAATGAGTAAGAGGAAGCCAATTGGGGAAGGAGAAAGAGGGAATGAGGTGCCAGTTCCCGGGAGAAGGCTCAACAGCAATAAAGACACCGCGGACCTTCCTTCCATAGGGTGGTCCCACGTGGGTCCTGGACACCCAGGACTAGCTCCGAAGGTGCTCGAAAATGGCAGACCAGAGTGTCTATGAAGACAGAGAGGCTGAGGTCCCAGGCCGGGCAGCCAGTCTCAAGCCGAGAGAGGCATGGCCCGGGCCCACATGGGTTGTAGGTGGCTTGTAGGTGGCTTGTAGGTGGCTTGCTCCAGCAGTGGTGGAGGATGGATCTGAAGGAGGCTGGAGTGCAGACAAGATCTTTGCGAGGAATATGTTAATAGCCCAAACCAGGATGGCTGGAACTAGGAAGCCAACCCAGAAGTGGAGAGCGCCCTAAGAGGTATTTCGGAAGGAGGGCGAGACCGCTAGGGCGTCGGTTGGGTGGTAGCGCCCTGGCCCGCAGGGCAACAGTAGGGGCGCGCCGGAGGGGCGCGCAGGGCAAGCCAAGTGGAACCGTCCTGCGAGCAGCGGGATGGGCGCCCCGGGGCCCAAGACGGCAAGCTGGGACCGGGGGCGCCTCCTGGGGGCGGCTGCTGACCACTCACAGCAAATGAGTTGGTCCAGAAGGGGGGCAGAGGAAGAGGAAAGTGAGCAGGTGTCTGCGGGACGACAAGGAGCGGGACCGCGGCGGACTGGGGGGCGGGGAGGGGGCGGACCACGCAGACGCTGCGCGGCCGCGGGGAGACCAGCCGGGAGGCGGGGGGGGGGGGGAGGGTGCAGGCGGAGCCCGATGGCGCACGGCGCGGGCAGGCGGGGTGGAGGGGGCACGGCCGACCCCCGCCGCGGACTCCCCGCGGCTCCCCCCCCCCGTCCCCGGCTGAAGCGGCCGAGGCCGGCTGGGCACGCCTCCTGCAGCCCGGGGCCGCCCGGGTCCCCCCGCCCCCCGCGGCCCCCCGGGCTCCCCGCGTGCCCGGGCCGCGCCTCCCCGCGCCGCGCCTCCCCCCCGCCGGGCCCCGCGACGTCACTGCGGCTCTGACGCGCGCTAATGGAGGCCCGGGCGCAGGCGGCGTGGCGCGGGTGTCCCCCGGGGAGGTCCCGGTCCTGGCAGCCGGCGGCCGCGTCCTTGGCCCTCCTCCAGGGGAACCTCGATTTTCCCATCTCGGGAAGGCCGGCTGTCCCTCGGCTACCGACAAGGACGCGACCGCTTGGTAAAAGATTTGAACAATGCCCGGAAAGAAAGAGCCGGACCCGAGACAGAGCCTAGTAATAGCCGCCCGCTAGAGTCCTGCTCGCGTGCTCAGCGCTCTTACCAACAATAATAACGACAACAGCCATAAGAGCCACCATTTATTGAGCGCTTACTCTGTGCCAGGCACTGTGTTAAGCGTTTTGCAGGCAACAACCCTCGGAGGTAAGTACCGTTATTCTCCCTATTTTAAGGAAGCCGGGGCACAGAGAGGTTAAGGAATTTGCCCCAGGCACACAGCTAGCTGATGTCAGTGCCAGAATTCCAACCCAGGCTGTTCTGATCCCATGTCATCCTCACGTCAACCCATAAGGTCGGGATCCATCTTAAAGATGAGGAAACTAAGGCACATGGAAATTTGAGTACCTTGCCCAAGGTCACCTAGCTGGAAAATGGATGAGGCAGAAAGCGAACCCCGGGCTCCTCTCTGTCCGCAGAACCCGCGGTCTTGGCCATAGGCGATGCCACTTCCAAACCACCTCCGACAGCCCCGCAGGCTTTGGCCCCGGGTCGCAAGAGGCGCAGCCCCTGCAGGGTTTAGGTGGGTTCCCGCGGCCTCCGATCCCCGGGTGAATCGGACGTTTCGGAGCATCGTCTCTGCTCAGCCCGCAGGCGTCTGGTGGGGACGCGTCTCCCGGAATCCGGTCGCGACCCGGCCGCGCGGTCCTCGGAAGGGAAGGAGCGGGGGCGGCGGCAGCGGGAGGGGTCCCTGGTCCCACCTGCAGAGCGGCGGGGCCGGCGGCTTGCTCGGCGCGGCCGGCAGAGGGCGCCGTAGCACGCGCCTCGGGTCCCGTGGTCACCAGACCCCGGGGCCCGCAGCCTGGGCCTGCGGACGTTGGGACTCGGAACCGCCCAACTAGGGGCCCCTCCGGCCTGGCGCCTGGCACCTCTCCGGCCCCTCCTCTCAGCCCTGGGGCTGCTTGTCCTGACGACTCTCGCCCATTTTCTGTGGTCCTGCCATCCCACCGTAGGCCTTGCAGTCTTCCCCAGTCCCTGCAGCACTGATCTGGTCCATTCCATTCCATTAGGCTCAGGTGTTTTCAAAGTCAGCCTTCGCTCCGTCTCCCCTTCTCATGGGCCCCTTGGTGATGTAAAATGGGGCTAAATCATCGACTTGGAATAGATAACTAATTTTCTTCTCCAAAACAGGAGGAGGGGCTTGTGTAAGGAAGGAGCAGCCGATTGGGGAAAGGATCTATTTTTAATAGCTACAGTGTCTTAAGAGCTTGTTTCGTGCTGAGCCCTTTCTATGTCTTGACTCCTTAATCCTCACTACAGCTCTGAGAGGAGTGCATCATTATTTCGACAGAGGAGACCACAAGACTGGTAAATGGCAATGTGGGCATCCACCAGGAGGATCTACCTGTAAAGCCACGTTCCCATGACCCGAATGCACAAGCTGATCCAACTGAACAGAAGAGGTAAGATACAAACCGAGCAAAAAGAAACCAAAATCTATTCTAAGACTGCTTAGAAATACCACACGTGAATTAGGGGCTTCCCGTTGCTCTCTGAGCCCAGTTTGGGACTCAAATGTCTGAAAAAGAAACACAAAACCTAAAGGTGCAATGAGAGGAGAATAGGAATAAGGCTTTTAGCTTTTGCTTGAAGAGCATCCAGAGAGGCCCACTCACTTTCTATGACTGGGCTCTGAGGAAATAAAGGTGGTTCTAGGAAAATCTGAAAAATATGAGAGGGGAAAAAAAAATGCCTTCTGTGGTTTTTACTTTAACCAAGCCGCATTTTGCTATTTGTGTTTTATTTTTAAATTAACATAGCTCTCCCCACCCTTTAAATTGGCACATAAATAGCAAAAACAGAAGGAAAGCCAGCTACAAACTTCAAACTTGGTGGGTTTCTCAGGAAGGAGGCGCATGACTTGAAGTGGAAATGAGGATTGAATGAGGTGCTTTAAACATTTGAAAGACAGACTTTCCACAAGGAATTTAGATCATAAGCCCTTAGAACGGGAGCTTTGTCTGGATTTGGGCTCAGTATAGTGCCTAGAATCGGTGAGTGCCCAAGAAATGTGGAAAACGAATCACACTTTTAATGTATGTCTGCATCATCTAACCATCTGGGCCACCACTTTGCTTATGGTTTTAGAGGATTTTCCTGTCCCCTGAGTCTTAGTCACACACCCTCCCACAGACCCCTTAGTTTCCCAGAATTTTGCTCTGGGAATTCAGTCAAGTTGAGGCTATTGTTATTGATGATGATGTCACTAGGCTTGGTTAAATAGAATGACTGCTCAGCTCTGGAATCACCAACTGGAGGAGTTTCCAAACAGGGAAACCGAGGCAGAAGGGACCTCGGGAGACTTGTCACTTCACAGTTCTGATTCTCTTGTCCTAGGTCTTTGAACTAGAGGAACTCTCCTCTTGCCCAACGCAAATGAGCCCTGGGCATCCCAGCTGCCTCTTGCAAAATTGTTGGACTTTTCTGACCTCACCTCTCTCTGCTCCTTCCCTCATTTTTTCAGGACATTCATTCTACAAACATGCATTGACAGCGCACTATATGTAAGTGCAGCTAGGAACCTAACATGAGCTCATGAGCTCACTTTCTCCCACCTGGCTTCTGACCTCATGGCCCATGACCTTATGGCTCCAACTTTCATGCCTGGAGAGGCGCCACAATGGTCAATGGCTTGCTTCTCCAGGTGGTGACTGTTGCTCAGACATATCCGACATTTTGGATGTGTCTCCCCTGGCAGGGCATGGTCTCCCCTGGCAGCTAGGGGAGACCATGCCCTGGGACCCCAGGATACCACCTTGGTGACATCCATTTGGTAGAGACTTGGGCCCTGATATATATTCTCAGAAGCAGGGCCTGGAAATGCTCTTGCACTTGCCTATACTCCTTCCTACCCTTTCCTAGTTGTCATATCTTCAGTTCATATGATCACTGTTGACAACCTTATTAATAGCTTGGGCCATATTTATGAAGCATTGGTTACAACAACAACAAAATCCCACTAGTGCCACAATACCCACTGTTCAAAGGAAAATGTTGGCTCAAAAAAAACAGCAGTGACTGGCTGGGATAATGCTATGAGTCTTTTGGGTCATTTTGTTATTGAGCCTTGGGATCAAGTGATTCAAAATAATGAGAAGGAAAAACACTAGCCCTGTTTTAGCCTTCCAGATTATTCAGATGGAATAGATTTTCAACATCAACACACTGGTAAAGAAAGAATGCTTAAGGTATACATCGTCAGTTTTTGTCTTTTTGGAAAATCCATTAATACTCAATGACTTGGTCTTCACCCATTTCCCCCTCCCCCCCCCAAAAAAAGAGTATTGAACCACACAGGATTCAGATGATGTCCTGTAAATCCCTTTAGAGAGTAGATTCCAAATCATAATCATTCTTCTTGAATATCTCACCCCCTCCCCAAGACTGTCCCATCCCTGCTAGCTAGCCACAGCATCACTTTCTCTCCCCATGGGGAAGGCAGATGCCCAGAGACCAGAAGAATGAGGGAGAGTAGTGAGGAGAGCTCTTCCCTTACCTGAGCTGCAGAGCCACTTGAATCTAGAGAACTGTTACATTTGTGCTGTGTCTGTGTGAGTTCGTGGTTGTGCTTTTTCTGGCTGATGTCCCAGATCTCCATAACACCGGGGCCTGAGATACTCTAAAAAAAAAAAAAAAAAAAAAAAAAAGCCTATCTATCTGTGACCTATCTGTGAAGGACGTGTGTCCGTCCACCCACCAAGAAGTTCTTGGTGGTCAGTGTCTGCATGTCCAGCAGCTGGGGTGAAGAGCTTTGGAACCACTGAACATTCCTGCTGGGATCTTTCCAAGCCCTTTTGGGAACCGGCAACAGCGCTTGTCTGGGGAAATTAGTTTTGCACTTTCACAGAGTGAGAAATTCCTCGGGGGCATTCTTGTACTTGGGAAGAGAAATCAAACCCGGCTCATTCCTTTAGAGCCCATGCCGTTAATAAAGCAGACCGGCTCCAATTCAGTGGGTCCCAGCCTGGGGCCCGAGGGGCGGGGGCGGACGCAGGGGAGTCCGGCGAATGTCACCTGCGGCTACGGCCCTCCCCGGGCTGGCGCAAGCCTGAGGTTTCGGGGGATCGTGTTGCCAGCGTGTAAACACCGTGAGTGACAGCCAACGCTCCCATTCGACCACAGAAGATCTCAAACCCTTCCTATCTTCCTAGAAACCCTAGCGGCCCGGCCCGGCTGCTTGCTGTCTGATGCAACAGTTTGCAACGCTCGGTTCTGGGAGCCGAGCCTGCCGCGGGGCGCAGGGCGCCCTGCTGACGCGCATGCGCGGGCTGCGGCCCCGCCGGGCGGGGCGGGGGAGAAGCTTTTCACCAGATGTGCCGGGGCCGGGGCCGGGGTGGGAGGGGGCGGGGCGCGGGCGGGCGGGCGGGCGGGGAGACCTTTGGCAGCTCGCACCGGCGATCTGAGCTTAATTAAACTTCTCCCGAGGCATTGGCTGGCTGACTGATTGACCCAGTGATCCAAAAAAAATCAGAGAGGCCTGAATCGCCCTAAACGCGACCGGAGAGAGAAGTTGGGGAGTTGGCTTTCGGTTTCCAGGGCTGGGCCTTTGGAGTCGGCCGGCCTTCCCCGAGCCCCGCAAGCCACGAAGCTATCGGGGTTCCGAGACCTCATGGGGCATCGGGGCCTCCCTTATCTGGGCCCTCCTACCGATTTCTCAAAAAGGGAAGCACAGTGGGACAGGGAGGGGGGGACCAGCGCAACGTTCGGATGGTGTCTTGATCCGTATCTTCCTGCCTCACTTCTCCACCCATGTGCCTTAGAAGGTTTTACCAGCAGAAAGCATCACGGCTTATTTAACCAGTTTTTTTTTTTTTTTCAGCCATTCTGGTACTGGCTGCATGGTTTTCCTCCATATCCACATTCCATCTATATTGTATATTTTTAATTGACTTCTTTTATTAACTTTCCTTATTCTCTAAATTAACTTTAAATCGATTCTCTTTTTTTTCTACATAGCCTCGCCCTGAGGAATAACATTAGCGAAACCACAGTTTGATGTGTCAGTCATCTATTTTAATACCCTTGAAAATAAATTCATAGCTATTCAAAAAATTTTTAAAACATGTGTACGTTAGCTAAGAATTTCTTGCCTACTGCATTTGGAGGAAAACTCCAGGGATAATAGAAAATAATGTGGGTTGAGTGATTGCCAATGTCCCAGGCACTGAACTAAGCACTTGAAGTCTGCATCCTTATGACACCTTATTAGGTGGGTGTTCTTTCCATTTTACAAAGGGAAAGTGGGAGACCCAGAGAGGTGAAATAACTTGCCAGAGATCACAGAGCCAGGATGCAAATTCTTACTCGCCTCACTCTAGAGCCTGTACCGCTGGCCTATCCAAAAAAGCTCAGTTACTGCTGGAGATCACCCAGGTGGTTAGTATAGGCTGGGTTTGAACCTAAGTCAGTCTGACTCCAGAACTGAACTGTTAACTGCTGTGTGGAACTCTTCCCTATTTCCTCAAATCTCACCTCATACAGCCTTTTTAACTGTCTGCCTCCTTTGGAATTTAAAAGGGGCTTCCAAGTTCTTTTTTCCTCACCCCCCTACATCTCCACACTCCTCCCCCTGGGTGGGACAGAGGTTCTGTTTCCACGGTTTCCTTCTTTCCTCTGAACTAAAGCAACCCGTAAAATTTCTCATGATATCCGTGAGAACCCCCACCTTAAAGATCCTATTCACTCTTCTCCACTGACCATAGAACTTCCATCCACCAGCATCATGAAACTACATTTCCCAGACTGCTATTCTCACCTCGAAAGAGAGCAAAAATCCTATGTCAAACCATGTGGCTCCTATTTGGGGTTGGAAAATCTGGTCACTAGCTTGGATAAAGATTGGTATGCCCATAGACTAATTCTTCTGGCCCCAGGCAGACATGAATTTCCCAGGCCTCAGTGATGGGGGGAGGGGGGCAAGTTATTTCAGAAACAAAACCTTCAATTAGAGGCATAAATGAAGACTTGGAATAAGACTTCTAAAAGATGGCTGACCCCAGCCCAGGAGGTATATTTTCTTTCTTCAACTGCCCTTACCACCACCACCCCTTCCCTCTCTTCACTTCCTCTTCCTTCCCCTTCTTCCAGATTCTTCTTTTAATTGTACCATTGTGCCACTCCCTTCCCCCCCCTCAACCCCCCGTGCCCACACCCACTCTTTAACTGTTTAGTATAAAATCCAGCCCACCAGACTGAGGTTTTCTTCGACCCAAATGTTATTTTCAGAAGGAGCCATTGAGGTTGGGGTGTAATTGCAGCGTTGGGCCTCTGCAAGCCAAGCTGAAAATAATCAGTGAGGCAGATGGGGTGGGAAGAGAGTGTGGTGGCCGCTTCCACCAAAGAGCGGGAGAAACCCAATGGAGTGAGTCAGAGAGGGGCGAGTGCCAGGCTGGTCTGCTGGGCTTACTGCTGGGAGTTCAGTTAAGGGGAAACTACCTAAGGTTTTGGGACCTTTAACTAAGGCCCAATCCAAGGTGGTTCCTGGCTGCACATCACAAGTCCATATTTCTTATGACAGCCGCTAAGCTGCTCTTGCTCTCATTCAGTTGGGCCATAGCAACCAGCAGGCCAGATGGGAACTTAACCATCCAGTTGGCTCACCAGTCTTTAGAGCAGGGTTTCTCAGCATCAGCACTATTGGCATGTTGGGCTTCAGAAGTCTTAGTTGTGGGGGGTGGCTGCTGCATTATAGGATGTTGAGCAAGATTCCTGGTCTCTACCCTCTAGATGCCAGTAACACACACACACACACACACACACACACACACACACACACACAGCCATGACCATCAAAAATGTCTCTAGACATGCCAAATGTCCTTGGGAGGCAAAAAATGCCCCTGGTTGAGAACCATTGGTCTAGAATGATCCAGGTCTATAACAGGATCACATTACCTGTCCCATGGTAGCCTCATTGCCTTACATCACATCTGAATGGGCCCTGATAAAATCTATTGGCCAACTCCTATTTCCAATGATAGCTGTTGAATACTTCAAACCCAGCATGAGTGCCTATGGAGTGCCAGGCACTAAACAAGGTGCTGAGAAGAAAGGGGCCAACAGACAGACATGGATATGACAGACTGAGGGAAGACAGACACATGAAGCAACCCTGAGCCAGAAGCATATAAAGAGAAGAAACTGGTACTATAAGAACATCAAAAAGGGTTTGTCACCTAGGTTGGAGATTCAAGGAGGGCCTTTGGAAGGAATGAGGAATTGGCCAGTTGGAGATTTGAGGGTGAGGGAATGTTTTACAGAGTAGGAACAGTGTCCCCAAGGATCTCAAAGAAGCCTGTCATGAACCAGGTTTCAGACAGTGGGAAGTCATTCTCTCCTCTAACCCCCAAATTTGCTTCTCCTGTACTCCTCCAGATTTCTAGTACAAGCATTTAAACTTAGGATCATGTTTAACTATCTTGACCACCCCGCCTTGTTCCTGCCCAACCCCCTTGATCACCCAGCTACCAAGTCCTGTCGGTTCTATTACGAGAATCCCTGCAAACTGGCTCCTCGTCTCCATTCCCAGCACCACAACCCCAATGCAGGCTCTCTTCATTACTCAGCCAAATTTGTGAAATAGCTTCCTAAGGAGTCATCCTCCAGTCTCTACCTCAGAGAAAGACAGAGACAAAGCCCACATCTCTGCTGGGTTAAAAAAAAAAAAAAAAAAAGCCTCTGCCTCCCGTGACTTTCATGACTTTTGGGTACTCTTCATTCACTGCAGCCAGCATACCTCCCGCCCTCCCACTCTCCAGCCACACCAGACCCTTAGCCACATCCCATGCACCCCCACAGCTCTGCAATTTTGCTGTTCTCTTTGTCTGAATTATCCTTCTCCAACCAAATTCAGTTGGGGAATTCCCACCTATCCTTCGAGACCCAGACAAAATGAACTCATTATACTCTCCTATCCCTTCTCAGAAGCCTTCTCTTAATTCTTCCTTTTGTTTTCACTGGGATTTATATATAGCTGCTGGTTTACCATTTGTCTCGTTGATCCATAGTTAATCTGTTTAAAGACGTCCCCTCCGCCAGAGTCAGAGGGCCTCAAAGGCAGGTCACATAGTGTTCACTACTAGTTGATTACCCAACACTCATTCCCTTCCTAAAAGAAGCCAAAGAAATGCAAGGCTTTGGGCAGCCCCAGTGGCTCAGCAGTTTAGTGCTGCCTTCAACCCAGGGCCTGATCCTGGAGATGAGTCCCACGTCAGGCTCCCTGCATGGAGCCTGCTTCTCCCTCTGCCTGTCTCTCTCTCAATCTCCCTGTCTCTCATGAATAAATAAAATCTTTAAAAAATAAAAAAAAAGAAATGCAAAGCATGGTGTATTATTTGGCTTACAAGCTAAGCTGCATAACAAACAGATCCAAGGTACAGTGGCTTACGCAAGCCCATGTGCCTCAGTGGAAGCTGACCCCATGCCCAGCTCCAGGGGTTGGCCCACCACCTGTCTCAAGAATTGGTTCAAGAATTGGTTCAAGAATTCAGGCCTAGGGATCCCTGGGTGGCGCAGCGGTTTGGCGTCTGCCTTTGGCTCAGGGCGCGATCCTGGAGCCCGGGATCGAATCCCACATCGGGCTCCCGGTACATGGAGCCTGCTTCTCCCT